GCAACTAATGGTGAACTTCCCAATAATCACCATGCTAGAAACAATTAGAAGGAAAGTAATGGTGAGGATCCCAGGTCAGAGAACTAAATTAGGGAAGTGGACAAGTGTTATATGCCCAAACATCAATAAAAAATTAAATGTCTATATATCTTTATCTGCTAATTGCCATGCCATCCGCAAGGCAGAGAAAATGAAGTTGAGCATTACGACAATAGGTTCACAGTGGATTTGGTATCAAAGACATGTTCATGCAGGTATTGGCAATTTGCGGACTTCCATGTTGCCATGCCATTTCTTGTATTTTTGATTCAAGACCAAAAGCTAGATGAATATGTGGTCCCAGCTACTTTTGTGTACCATTTCAAACAAACATACAACCATTGCTTGAATCAGTTGAGGGTATGAATAGCTAGCCCTCATCGATAGGGTACCCGGTAGAGCCCTGGTTATGTGAAGATGTCAGGCCAAAACAGAGGAGAAGGGAGCCCAGGAAGTTAGAAAGGCCACTAAAATGTCAAAAATCGGGCGTTATATAAATGCAGAGAAATGCCACACCTGGGCACAACAGGACAACATGTACCAATATAAGTGGAGGGGAAGTTCACAGAGCAGAGGATCTGAGTGGGTTGGGAGGTAGCAAGCCACCAAAAGGAAATGAGTCATTTGCAAGATCACAACCCAACATGATCTCAGTGGCGGCGAAGTAATAAATGCTATTGTTGTCCTGTCCAACACACAAAAGAGTATGTTGAAACAGTACAAAAGGAGTTCCATAGCTGATGTATCTCTGAATACAACAAAAGGTCCTCTTTACCTATATCTCAAAGTTTTAACTTATGCATCTTGTATTTTAAATTCATTCTTGAACATCATGTACATCTTGCTTCATCGATTTATGTAGGCAAAGGCAACAAACTCACAGAACATCATCAAATCGTCGTTACGTGCAAGGGTTTCAACAATTCCAGACGGCAGGAATACAATCCGTTTCGGCAAGCTAGAGTGCCCACTTTCAATGTTAATTATAGCGTGCATGTATGTTGAGCGGGTCGGTGGTGATCGCGGTCTGTTCAAGTGCCAAGAAGAACAAGCTCGCTCCAAAGCAACTTGAATTGCTCAACTCAAATGCTTCCTCCATGGCAAGGACCCTGTGATGTTCCAGCAGGAGATGGCGAAGTCCGTATGCCAAACTTGAATAATTTATAGGCAGGAAATTTAAGAAGTGGTTGATTACCTTTATGTATGCCAAACTATGTGTTATGCCCAACATCCGGCTTTTTATCTATTTGCTACTTATGCCATGTATGACAATTATTTGCACTTTTATCGGACCGGGTGTTGTGTTATCTGCGTGAGTACATGCCTATGTTATCTGTATGGTTCTGGAGGCGGTAGTGCAATTATTTGCCTATATTATCTCGACATTATTATGGTGGATGCATTGGTTTCTCGTGATAGTGCAAATATAAGATTCAAGCATGTATTGCTTTGTTTCTTTTCTAGCACGACAAGAGACGACTTGTTGGCAAAAAAAGAAGGGAATTTGATTCATGCCATTACACAAAGGGTAACATCCGCCGATCTTAAGCAAACATTGACTACTTATACATTTACATCACAACCAACACAAGGAGAATGACGAATTGAAACCTAACAACACTAGCGAGCACTGCACACACATCATCCAATTCAAATGTCCTTGCTTCTTCTTGCCTCCCTTCTTGGCCGAAGCTATAGTCCTCCTCCGTGCTCATACACACCTCCAATTTTCTTCGGTTCATCATACATGCATCTGCACACTATCATCTGTCATCTCCAATGGATGGTAATGACACATCTCCTAAAATGGAAGCTTCCCATAATTAACAAGAAAGTTGGCATATTCTTCTTGAACATGTAGAAATCACAAAGAGGAAAGCGCAATGCCAAACCGGCAGAATAAATCACAAACCCTAAATTTCAATTACCATCGGCAATTTCAATAAGGAAACCAAACCTTCTTGTACTTGCGGGCATTTGAAGAACCTTTCCATTGGGTGCTTGTCCGATTTTGACAACAGCTCTAAAATCCTCCCCATACTGGTGATGAGGACACCAGATCAACAAAACCACTCTCTCTAGTGGCTCTCAACTACTGTGACAAGAGCGGTTTGACGTGTTAGGGTCCATGGGAGACGGAAGATTCTGCCGGAGGCGAAGAACTAGCAGATGGAGTTCGAGAAGCGTGAGCAAGGCCCGCCCGGGATGCTGTATAACAGTGCATATGATGAAATCCCTATTTCGTGACGCTCCCCTTCTTTTGTGGATGGTCATCTCAAGGAGTCGTCTTCGAGCATTTGGCTATTTTTTTGGGGCTTAGATGGCCCATATCCACCGTGGCGCCAACAAAGCCAAAATCACTTATTGAAACCGAGAATGGGGTCATGTGCATGAGATAGATGAGGGAGGTCGTTTCTCGGTTTTCGGGATCGAGGAAAATCGACTATCGCAAAAGATGAGGGAGGTAAAGTGGAATTTTTCCTAATGCAAGCTTCCCTCCTCACGTTGTTTAGGCTTTCGCAAGGCAGCCCACCATTGGCGACAAAAAGTGTGATCAGAATGGCCCACGGGACCGGAAGTTCAAATCTGGAATTAAATGGGCTAGCCCACGGACATGTATATAGGCTTTTTATTTTCAGGCCCGGACGTCCGATCCGAGCGGGGTTAGGGTATACAATGTCAGAGAAAGAGTTTAAATTCTAACCAAATTGTTTAAACACTAACTTCGTTGTGCTCATTTGTTGGTTGCCTCTAAGTGCTTACTTGAGCATGGCTTAGGTGATAGTGGTGTTGGTGGGTCCCATTGCAATATGTGCAACACCACTCCCTTGTGAAAACTCTTGCAACATAAGTCCGAAAATAGCGGAAACACTTGCAACATATGTCTGAAACACGTGCAAAACACCTAAAAAACACTTAAAAGACATTGCAAACATATGCAACATTCAGATAAAATACTTGCAACAGTCGTATGAAACACCTGAAATACTTGAAGCATAGGCTTACCACATGCATGTATATGCAACATCCAGATATACTTTTCCAACATCGAGATAAAAACACTGCAACATACGTCTGATGCAGATGAAACATTTCGAACATACACTTGAAACATACGTGTATAGCCATTGCAACATGTGCAACATCCCGATCTATTTTTGCAACATCGATATAAACACAGTTGCAACATACCTCGAAAACACCTGAAACACTTGAAACGTAGGTTCGCAACATGCTCTTTTAGCGCAAATATCTCCTTGCTGCTTCGGCGAATGGAGGCTCGTCGGCATGTGGAGGTCACCAGTGTGCTCGCTAACAATGCGGAGCTGGGCGGCGGCGCACGAGGGCAGGTGTGGAGGCGGCACGGGCGGTGGTGGCGCATAGGGCGAGTGGGTGGCACGTGGAGGTCACTGGTGTGCTCGCCGGCGGCGTGAAGCTAGGCAGCGGCACAAAGAGGGCAGGGTGGGGCAGCACGGGCGATGGTGGCGCAAAGGTCGGGTGGGCGCGGCACGGGTGGCGCAGAGAGTGGGTGAAGCGTCCGAACGTCGGACGCCTGGGTTAGAGCGTTTCCGTTTTATTTTATGGATTGTGGTGTATATGCATGTTTATCGGTTAACCCTACGATACAGTTGCACACTTGTGCTTGACTTGACATTTAATGCTCGGAATGGGGCGGCCGGGCGGGTCAGCGGGTGGGGGTCGTTAGCCTTTAAATTAAAATTTTGGTGAGGGTAGTTTTTTTTGTATGTGTTCGACAAAAGAGATATTGTATACATTTAGAAGAATTATAACTCTCGCGGATATTATAATATTGGACGTGACTGGATGCCCGCTTTAACCGCAATCAGGTTGGACGGATATGACCTTCGAGCGATATGCTGTCTGGACTAGCGTTCGGACCTACTAGTCGACGGGCGCCGCTTGGCTCTCTAGATACGGGGACTTCCTCCGTTTCTCCGCAGCCAGTCTAGCCAGATACAAGCTATTGAGCGTGTATACGTTTTCTATACATCCAGGCAACCAAACATTGGCTCAGTCTAGCCAGGACATGCAGATGCTATTATCCAAATAAAATTGTCTCGCATAGACTAGGCCAGGCCTGCGATATATACCAGGTCAGGCTCAACATGGAAGACAACTAATCACACCCATTGTGAAGACGTGTTTGAATGCTGCCTGCTAGGCAGTAATCCTGACCCAGGCAGAGAAAATTTGCGCCTAGGAGCACTTGCCTGGCACGTGTTTTCGAGGGTCTCAAGCAAACATGCTTGAATCCGTTACCACGAACCTGTTGATTCCAAGAAAAAGCAGTCGAAGCGCCCAGTGCCAGCGATCACGGTCAGACGATCGATCGGCCACGCTTTCGGACCGGCCGTAGCCGGTAGCCCGTAGGTCCGTGTCAGGAACATTGTGAAGAAGACTAGGAAGAGAAGGACAACTGTGGGGCGTCCGGCAACAGAGACAGCGACACCGTCTGCTGACAATGTGGGGTAGCAAGCAGCGGTGTGAGTGGGTTGTTAGCAAGCCATTAAGTCGCTGTTAGTTGTTCGTAGCGGTGTTAGTGGCGGCGATGTATATAAGCCTCGTCCTGTAACTGAATCGGTATGTTGAAACAGAACTCTGAAACTCCCTATTCTGAATACAATTCGGTTCCTTTGTTCTTGCTGCCTGCCTGAACTCTCTGCTTCTCCCAAATCCCATATTCCCCTCTAGTTATCCTGTCCGATTTCTTGCGAGATCGTGACAATTGGTATCAAAGCCGTCGTGATTCCTCTCCTTGATCGCGCTTGTAATTCCAGACGGCAGGAATCCGAGTTCCGTTTCGGCGTTGAACTCACGATTTCAGATGTCCGTGCTTTGGTTGAGCGGGTCGGTGGTGATCGCGGGCTGTTCGTGCACATCGCGCGAAGTTGATCCTCATCCTGGCGCCGAAGAGGAACCCCACCAAGTTCCAGCAGGAGATGGCGAAGTCCGTTGAAGAGCTCTCATCCCAGTTCGAGAAGATGTTGAAGCAGTTCACAGGTTTCCAAACGATGATGCAGAATTCTTTGGACTCTCTCAACGCCATGGGCCCCGTTCGCTTCGCTGAAAAAACAAGTCGAAACACTGTTCCGGTTAATTTGTTGTGAGAGAAAAATACTGTTCCGCCTGAAAAAACAAGCTGAAAAGTACGGATTATAAGACAAGCGAACAAGGCCATGGGGGCGTGGCAGGCGACTACGGACCGGCGTTCGGGGATTTGCGTCAGCGGGCGGAGAGTGCCTCTTCGTCTCTGGAGGTAGTCACGAAGCGGGTTGAGCTCGCCGCGTTGCGCATGGACTCTCTGGAGGCGCGGCTGACGATGGCTCCGGGACTGCACCGCCGGTTCACCCTCCACCAGGTTCGAGGTGGATGGACCTCAACCTTGCTCCCGGATCGTCCTCGTGCTCACCTGCGAGGGACGGGGAGCGGCCCAAGGGGCACGGCGAGCACTGCAGCGGGATCCTTGGACTCCGGCCGCAGAACTTCGGCAAGGGTACGTTCGCTGCTCCGAATCCACCTCCAATTATTTCGGTTGACAATGATGCGCCTGCAAATTGTCGTTCACCTCCTTTCCCTAAAATGGAGTTTCCAAAATTTGATGGTGAATTCCCTCGCCTATGGCGGGATCAATGTGAGGTATTCTTCGAGGTCTACGCGGTGCACCCGTCTCTGTGGACCTGGTTTACGACCTTGAACTTCAAGGGAATGGCTGCGTCGTGGCTGCAAACTGTGCAACGAAATGGGCAAATCACTGATTGGGATCGGCTTTGTGATATGGTGATGAACAAATTCGACTGGAATCAGTATCAACTACTGCTGAAGCGGTTTGAGAAGTTGAAGCAAAAAGATTCTGTCGAAGAATATCAGATGGAGTTCGAGAAGCTGGCCAAAGGTATTCTTCTGTATAGCAGTGCATATGATGATACCTATTCCGTGAATCATTTTGTGGATGGTCTCAAGGAGGAGATTCGAGCAGCTATTTCATTGCATAGATGTAACACCCCTGGTACTGTTACGAGCTTGCTTAGCACCGAGATTGAGGCCCGAGAGAAATTAGCAAACAAGTTTCTCGGGTTTTAAAATTTAAAACACGCATGAAATAATTGTTGATTGAAGCTAACAAGGTTTAGACCTTTTTAAAAATTGTGACAAAAAGTGTTCATGGTTGTTAAGTTCAAATCGAACCCTGTCTTTTCTAAAGTCTGAAAGGGGTAGTAGACAATGTCATTTTGGCTTTTAAATTCTAACCAAATTGTTTAAACACTAACTTCATGTTCTCATACTGTTGGTTGCCTCTAAGTGAGTACTTGAGCATGGCTTAGGTGGTAGTGGTGTTGGGTGTCACGATGCCCTCGCAAAAATTGCCCGAACCTCATTAAAGTGTGTCAAAGTCGTGTCGTTGGCGCTCTGTTCACGAACTGATGTTCAGAACGACGAGCTCACATTGGCATCCATCTACCTCCTTCCCTGGTGGTCCTCTGGTCATGGCGATGGCGTTGCTAGGTTGTTGGCAATATGGACTTTACGATAGCAGGGTTAGTTGAACCTCAACTGTGATCGTTAGTGACTTTTGCTACGCTTTGAAATATGTGCACATCACCTAGGGCAGCCGTTCGGACTGGGTTCGCGGTCACCACGGGCACATCGTGGTGGCGCCGGGGTCAAAAATGACGACTAATTTCAACGATCGCCGGCTATCAGTTCAAATGGAAAGTTGACCGCGCCAAGTCTTGCGTGGCCCGACCCGGCTGGTAGTGGTTTGGTCATCGGCCTCGGTGTGCGCGCGCCAACGCTAGCCACCTTGCCGTCGTGGCACTCGCCCCACCTTTCATCCTACCTACCTAGCCGAGTCTCGGATGTGTGTGTTGTTTTCATTTAGGTTGACGACCCGGTGACTGCGGTGACGAGATGTTTCCGCCGCTCAAATAGCCTAGCCGACGCCGGTGAGCCCCCGCTCGGGTTTTGCCGCTCCATTCAAGCGCGTCACGCCAAGCCACATGAACCGCCACCTGTGCACACGTGTTCGTGCTACCGCCATCAAATGGAGCCGCCCTGTTTTAATCCGCTCGCCCATGCTCGGGTGCACTCCAATTCGCCTAGCTCAGGGCTTCATAGTTCAATTCCTCGTACCAGTAGGTGGCATGAGAAGGCAACTAGGCGTCCATCTTCCCCATGCCTGGTCAAGCGCTACCCACCGCCAATTTAGCGTCTTGCTCGCTGCCGGCCATGGGGGCCGCCACTGACAGAGAGTTAATGGCCATGATACCAATTGTCACGATCTCGCAAGAAATCGGACAGGATAACTAGAGGGGAATATGGGATTTGGGAGAAGCTAGAGGTTCAAAGGCAGAAAAGAAGAATAGAGGCGTCGAATTGTATTCAGAATAGGGAGTTTGAGTTCCATTTCAACATCTCAAATGGAAAGTTGATAGGAAACTTATATACATTGCCACCGACTACAGCTAACAGTTGAAAAAATAATTGGCTGACTTAATGGCTTGCTAACAACCCACTCACCGCTGCTTGCTACCCCACATTGTTGTCGCCAGACGACGGCGTCATTGTCTGTTGCTAGACGCAAACGTTATCCTTCTCTTCCTAGTCTTCTTCACAATGTTCTCGACACTTGCGCAAAAGAGCACGACGGAGAAATAAGCGGCACCCAAATGATAGCGGCTCTGGCGAGATCCAACGTCTGGAGCCGCGACTACGACATGAATGGTGTTGGGGTCCAAAGACGAAGGAGGCGATCATTCTCCCATTTATATTTTCTTTTCCTATGTGTGTGCTCCACTTCCCTTACTTTCCCTTAATTCCTTCCATCCACATTTAGTTTGTCGATTTCTTCTCGATGCTTCCGGCCCTAATGGCCTCCTAGCCTGATATAGTGCTTCCTAGGTCTTGATGAGCTGAAGGGAAAGTGCAGGGGAGCGATTCAAAATTTTTCAATTTGAGCGACAATCATATGGGTTCCGAGGAGCCAGTTTGGGAGCGATGGTGGCGTCCAAATGGGAGCGGGATCACTGATGGTCGTGGTCGCGATCGGCTATCTCCTCCCCCCTTCCGGATAGGGAGGAGGAGAGGAGGTAGAGCACTAATCACATAAAAATTGTAGATCTTGATGAATGTTGGTCAAGGACTTGAATCACATGAGGAGGCTTCATTTGATTTGTGTATGTGCCCTATAGATTTTTATTCCGGCTATTTTCTCCTTGCATTTAATGGATTTGTGGTCTCCTCAGTCCTCATTCCCCTCGACTACTCCTATCTCTTTAATTGTCTCTGAATACCAAGCTTTTGATTTCTTTCTTCCTCCACTCGATATATTTCTCCTTTACCTACGCTTAAAGCATAATCTCGCTCTACTCAATATCGAATCAAAGATTTATCAAACGTGCATAGCAGTTAAGTAGATAGGTGCTGGCCATGATGAGCTCTGAGCTTTCTAAAGCACGGATGAAGCTGGGAAACAGAAAAGGAAGAAGGTGGGCAACCAGTAGATGATGTTCAAAATTCTCTGTGAAAGAGAGATGAAGCATGGTATTTTGGTTTCCTTCTTTTCTTTTATCCCTTTCCTTGATTATTTCGACATCTGTTTTGATCCCTTTTTATTTGCTTTGGGCAGATTTACTGGTTCATGATCATATCTCGATTTGACTTATACTCTACCGTACCATATGTGTTTGTTGCCTAGACAAAGGTTAGAAAAGCTCGCAATTGACATTAGCATCTCATATTTTCAATTTCCCTGTTGCAAATTGTTACCATCTTGCTTTGCTCCATAAGGGAAAAGGTAATTTTTTATTTAGGCAAACATTTCACGATTTATGGAGTCATAGAACTTGCTATTTTATTGATGGAGTTGTTTGATACAAAATACTATGCCCAATACCACATAAAATTAATTGGACACAGGGAGGCCAGAAGGGAGCACACGGTGCCTATGAGTTGTTTAGATTTAGACCCTTTAATAGTTTAGTGTTATCATACCAAAGCCTAATGACTTCCATCTATGTGTGTCCAGATCTCCTCTGGTTGACAACAATCTGAGCTACCGAGAAAAATGACCTTGTTCTATACTTCAGATGACTACTTATAATACATGTGTGTGATTGTGTGCATAGCTACTGAGGAAAGCTATTTATACTTGAAATGAAATATAAATCTACAAGCAAATATATGTCTTAATCTTGGTTTATCTATGCCATAGCCCATTTTAGTAATATTTCCATGATTGGGTTCCATCCCCTCTACATAGATAGAGTCAATGTGTTCTCTACATTTTAGCCACCTACCTTTCCTTCTTAGTTGTTTTCTACTTAGGCTACCAGCTTGCATTACTGGATTGCAACTTAATTTTTGTTGCTCACTCCTCAGGAATTGCCTTGCTGGATTGCCAATTTATATAGCTCCTTATTAGCATTTCCAAATAATATATAAAGCATAGGTGGATGATGCAATGAAGCAATACAAAAAAGGCGATGAAACTTGCAACTAGCTTGATTGGTCTTTGGAATCTTGGTGAACAGACCTGAGTTCTCCAATTGGTCTTTGACTTTTGCCTTTTGTGTGTTTCTCGCATTTTTTCTTCCATTGTTCCTGATGCTTCTTTTTTGTGTGCTTTATGTTGTAGGGTGGCCAACGAAAGGGAGGTGTTGTTTCTAGGAAATTGAAAATCAGCTAGATTCAGTGAGTTTCTTTCCCTCAGCTGCTTTGTTTTCTTTCCTGGGTTTTTAGGCATGCAGTGTGGTGTGGTGTGTCTAATTTCATGCTTACGTTTTTTTTCTTATAGCAGCTGCGCATCGAGTGTGATTTCGTTGTTCTTTACCCTATATGTCTTTGGTTTGTGAAATTCCTGAGGATGTGGCTATCATGTGTAGGGTGGAGTTGAGTTGCCGTTGCTAGGTGTCATTCAGGGGAATCAGAGCATTTTCGTTTGGTTTCTTGTGCAGTCAGATGATGCCCGTGCATATGAGCTGGCTACCCTGCAGGCAGTATCATACTACCTAGGAGTACAAAATGTCTATGGGTAGCTCAGGGATTAGTTCTGTACAGAAAGGTAGCTCGTGCGTCTATTTCTCTGCCAACCAGAGCTACCGAAGTGGCAAATGTTGCTGCTGCTATTAACCAGTGTGATTCAGAGAGGTGTGAAGACATAGCAAGCCAATGTCATTGCTTTGAGGTTCCGCTGTTTAGACTGTTTGTTTAGGTTCTTTTGCGGCTGAGCTATGGATAAATTGTTGATTTGTACTTTTGATGGTGAACAAGAAAATAGATGCAAAGTATGTTTGGTAATGTGTTTGTTCGTTGTTTTGGTCGATTCAGGCCTACCTACTCCCATCTCCTCTTAAGAACTCCCTACACAGGAAAAACTTGGTGATGGAGGAAGAGGATCACCTTCCCAAGGTATTCGATCATCTGTCTTTAAGCCGCAGTATCACCCCTTCTCCATGAAACATGCCTCCTCGAGTGAAACAAGAACACACTTTCAGCTTCGATGATGATACAGCATATGTCACATAGATAGAAATTAAGAATATCCAAACCTAGGACTGTCTCATGTAAGATATATATGTACTATTTCAACACCTCGCATCCCGGTTTAGAAATCCAGCTTTGTGTTTCATGTAATATACATGTAGTATTTGAACATCTTGCATCCAGTTTAGAAATCCGGTTCTATGCTCGGCACGCATGGGCGCGCGCAAATCACTAGTCTATACTAACATTCATTCATGATGATCAGATACGGGATACATGACAATGCTAATTAAAGTTCATATGTGTGTTCTTTTTGGTATATATATATATATATATATATATATATATATATATATATATATATATATATATATAGGGTAAGACTATTCTGCAGCTGGCTATAGAATAAGTTATTCTGTAGTCATCTCTATTTACGATAATTTTATATACTAATTTACCATAAAGTGAATACATATTTACGATAGTTGTGTTATTATAACACATGAGAATA